CCCCAAGCAATTGCAAGGGTGCTTCTTATAAGCCTGAAAAATGCAAAAGGGATGTTTGGGGGTCCAGCCAATGCAACTAAGCCAAGTTACAAAAGCAGGAGAGTGCAGTCAGGCGGAGGGACACTTAGCCAATCACAATTAGCCAAGTCACCCCAGTTCCAGAAACAGAGCCCTGTAACGCTAGTTACAGAAACAATGCCTCATTAGGTAGTTCCATGTTCTTAAAGGTTTCTATAGCAAAAGGAAAGGGACATCTTGCCCTGACCATGACCTTTCTACTTGGCATGGTTTATTTTTACAAAATGGAGTTACTAAACAAAATGGAATCACTTTGTGTCGCAAGGGGGCGCAAAATTGTGATGTATGCAGTGGAGGGGAGAAATAAAGGATGTCCAGTGCTTCTGCCCCTTTCAGTGTTTTATTCACTCAAATTACTCAATACAGTTTCACTCTACAGGTTCTTAATTTTTAAAAAAATGACAATCCTTAATGGCTAGGCAGTACAATAGACATAATTAATTCACAGCAAACAATTCTAGATGAATTCTAAACACTGAAAAACACACTTAATCATGCCAGTCTAATGACAGACATTCCCTCTGCAGGCTAAGTTCCAAAGTCTTAAGACTTAGGCCTTATGTCCAGCAGATGCACACTCACTCAGAACACAGTGACCAGGTCCAGAACCAAGGCAGCTTTTCCTGGTGTGGAGTGGATGACCATTGAGGGTCATAGGGAGAAGTTGTGGCTCTCACCAAGGTCCAGATGAGGTGGTAGAGTCTGAGAGGGGTGAGGATCATGCAGAGGCTCAGGAAATGATGACAAGTGATGGGATGTCAGGTCCTCATCAGGCTCTCCAGCTCGAGTGCATCCTTGTTTCGGCTGGCTGAATTCCTGTTCATTTGCTCTATTATTTATACTAAATTTGGGGGCTTTTTGACCCCCCTTTCAATCCTTATCATCTACCACCAGATTTCTCAGTGATATCGTTTACTCTGGGGTCAGAAACATCTGGTCTGGTGGTCTCCACCCTGATCTTCTCACCTTACTCTCTTATCGGGTGAGGACAGCCTGCCAGGGGCTTCACTCTGTTTATCAGGGTGAGGGGAAGTAATTTGTCTGAGGCCATACTGGAGGGCTGTGTGGGTGTGCCTGGTGAAACTGCAGGTTTCAAATTGGAGTTTTTAAAATGGAGTTGCTTAGGCTCAGGACTAAGGCCATCCTAACACTTTGGCTTGACTATCACAATTTCACTTCAGTAACTTAGATTACTCAATCAACATTACTATGAATCTCTCTCTTGCTTAGTACTGTAACAGTGCTTAAAATCTCTAAAAGTGTTTACATTCCTGAATGTTTAAAATGCTTTTTAGTATATTTTACAGAGCATTAAGAGTGAATATTTAGTAAACTTGAACTGTTTCATCTGTGCATATGAAAATAGGTAGTAATCTTCCTGTGGTCCCATGAAGCAAGCAGTCACTAAGGCAAAGGAGTTCATCCACACAGCTAGAATCCTCATTCTCTGCTTCTCCCTTGCCCC